CAATCTACATTTCTTGTTGTGAAAATAGAGGTTTATTATTTCATATATATACAATACTCGAGGGGGTACCCAAGGGTGCCTGGGTCTCTGTCCGTTTGTCTCTCTCTCTGTCTCCCATTCTCCCTCCCTCTCTCCCGTGAACCTTCCCCCCCCCCCTCTCTCTCTCTCTCTCTCCCTCCCATAGTGAGCATAACATGCGTGAATAAAATAAATCAACGCTGAATCAGTAATAATGATGTTGAATCAATGTTATCAATAGGTTATCTTGAGGTGATTTCAGGGCTTAGCGTCCCCGCGGCCCGGTCCTCGACCAGGCCTTCTTTTGGTTACACACCCCCAGGAAACAGTCCGTAGCAGCTGTCTAACTCCCAGGTACCTATTTACTACTAGGTAACAGGGGCATCAGGGTGAAAGAAACTCTGTCCATTTGTTTCCGCCTCCACCGTGGATCGTACCCGGAAGCTCACGACTATGAATCCGAAGCCCTGTCCACTCAGTTGCCAGCCCCCTAGTCAACGTTGAATCAATGTTACTGACGTTGAATCTACGCTATCGAAGCTGAATTAGCATTATCTGTGTTGAATCAATGTAACTGATGTTGAATGAATGTTATCAACGATGATTCAACAATATCGGCGTTGATAACAGGGAGAAGTAAGTTGGAAAACACTCAATGGGCAATCAAACCCATATTTCAGATTGCATATGATTCCCTGGTTGTCGCAAGAGAAGCCAACCCAAAGGCATTGGGGGGAAGGGGTGGGGTCAACCCCAACCACCCTATGACACTCGCCATACTATCACAAATCACCCTGCAAAGTTTAGTGAAGCTAGCCGCAAGAGTCTGGTTCTAACTTTTAACAAACAGACAAACAAACATTCTCTCTCATCCTCTCGAATCCTCGTCACGGCCCTTGTGGATTTGTTCATTCTCTCTCATATAAATATTATAAAGCCCGTCCTCCACAAATTATAGTACTTTGATCAAACGTACCAAAAGTTACAATTAAGTCTAATTCCTTCACAATTCTCGAAAAAATTCTTACAAATTAGAGAACAGTATTTGCATTTACATGACGCTTGTTTTGAAGGGCGCTCAAATAACCGTCAAGGTCTAGGTGGCATTAAGTACACGAGACGGTAGGTAAGTCCTTTTATCTTGACCTCTTCTCGTCGTCGCAACCTTATACACGAAGCAGTTTAGTTTAAGATTGGAAATTTCCTTATTGACATTATTTCATTTGTACTAGTAGTACGTTGAGTACGTTGAGAGAGAGAGAGAGAGAGAGAGAGAGAGAGAGAGAGAGAGAGAGAGAGAGAGAGAGAGAGAGAGAGAGAGAGAGAGAGAGAGAGAGAGAGAGATAAGAGGGGAGAGAGAGAGGGGGGTAGGTCTAATGTGGCCACCAACATATTGTTATGGCTATGTAAATGAGGTCATTGGCTGCAGCTTTTGGTCGTCTATTCTCACAAACTTGCCAGTCTAGCTGTGAAATATCTACAAATGGTCTCATTACTTTGTATAAATTTTACACTATAGCGACCACTCAAAATGCAAATTTGTTGAGGCGTGTTTCAGCTTTACTTTATGCATTGGGAGTCTGCCAATAGTAAAGCTTACCAGGCAGAGTTTACGTTTCAGTCCAGCAACAAAATGTGCAGCCCTCTCTCAGGGTGAGAGGCGTCATGTATCACTATTCAGAGTCCCCTCTGTGTCCCACGGGTCATGTATCACTATACAGAGACCCTTTTGTGTTCCGGGGTCACGGATCACTATATAGAGGCCCCTTTGTGCCCCATTTGTCGTGAATCACTGTACAGGGTCCCTCTCTGTCTCTCTGGGTTCATGTATCAGTATACAGAAGCACCTCTGCATTTCGGGGTCATATCTCTATTAAGAGACTCTTCTGTGTCTCTGGGGTCATGTATCACTATTCAAAGACACCTCTCTTTCCTGGGTTATGTATCAATACACAGAGGCCTTCCTATGTGTTCCGTCATTTGTGTCTTAGGGGTAATGTATCACAGTGAAAAGTATCACAAGTGTCATGTATCACAGGATTCAGGGACACATTAAATAATATAATGGTGTTCTGTATCATCAATGTTTCCCCTTCCTTCTATCACTGCCCTCTGCTTCCACTATTATACCATCCTTTATTTTCTATTGCTTTTATTTCGCTCTGCCCCTTGTCCTTCCTGCTTACCCAGTTCTCTTTCGCTCCTATCCACTCTGATTACCCCCCCCCAGCACCACCTCATTTTCACTCCAATCCCAGCACCACCCACCGCCCTCACCAATCCCAGCACCACCCACCGCCCTCACCAATCCCAGCACCACCCACCGCCCTCACCAATACCAGCACCACACACCGCCCTCACCAATCCCAGCACCACCCACCGCCCTCACCAATCCCAGCACCACACACCGCCCTCACCAATCTCAGCACCACCCACCGCCCACACCAATCTCAGCACCACCCACTGCCCTCACCAATCCCAGCACCACCCACCGCCCTCACCAATCCCAGCACCACCCATCGCCCACACCAATCCCAGCACCACCCAGCGCCCTCACCAATCTCAGCACCACCCATCGCCCACACCAATCCCAGCACCACCCACCGCCCTCACCAATCTCATCACCCAGCACCACTCACGCGGTGTTGGTGTGATGTCACCGCCCAGGACCGTCTGTACTGTCGTAATATTGCTTAATTTAATCTACAGGAATCAGTTTCACAATTTTTTTTTTACCTTTAACATATCGTACACAATCTCTCCATGCTGTGCCCGACCGAATTTCTTTAAGATCAGGTTAAAACAAAATAATAATAATTCAGTCCTTGTTTACGGTGTCCGTGTTTGTTGGCGCTCCGTCAAATATATTACCTTTTCTGACATTAGCTTTATATATTATATTTGTCCAGTGTGAGTTACTACAACTGAAGTCGCCTATAACTGAGACGTAACTACGACAGACGTCAGAGACGTATTTGCTTCATCTAGTTAATGTAAATTTGTTGTAATGTGGCCCTTATGTTTTGAGTGCTTTGTATGAGACGTGAAGGGTCGCTATAGTTGTCTAAAGTTGTTGTTACTTGGAATATTTTGTTGTCTGCTTGGTATGGTAAAAAATGTTTTCTGCATATATGCATAGATGTGTGTGTGCGTGTGTGTGTGTGTGTGTGTGTGTGTGTGTGTGTGTGTGTGTGTGTGTGTGTGTGTGTGTGTGTGTGTGTGTGTGCCTGTGTGAGTGTGTGGGTGCGTCTGTGATTGTGTGTGTGGTGTTGAAAGAGAAGCGCCCGTTGATGAAGACGATTTGCTGAGTGTTATGGAAGGGAAGGAACCCATCAGTAGGATTATATGGGTCGCGAATGTGATAGGAGAGGGAGAGAAGCTGAGAATCTGTTCTAGGTTAGTGTACTCACCTAATTGTTCTTGCGGGGTGATTGAGCTTCGGCTCTTTGATCCCACCTCTAAACTATCAGTCAACTGGCGTAGAGGTTCCTGAGACTATTGGGCTCTATCATATGTACATTTCAAACTGTGTATGGAGTCTGCCTCCATCACATGACTTCTGGATGCATTCCATTTGTTAACTATCCTGGCGTTGACAAAGTTCTTTCTAATGTCTCTGTGGCTCATTTGGGTACTAAGTTTCCACCTGTGTCCCCTTGTTCGCGTTCAACTCGTGCTAAATAGTTTATCTATATCTAACATGTCAATTACTTTGAGAATTTTATAAGTGGTGATTATTCTCCCTAATTCTTATATCTTCCAGTGTTGTGTGGTTTAGTTACAGTAGTCCTTTCTCGTAGCTCATACCCTCAGCTCAGGGACTAGCCTTGGTCGCATATCTCTGAACCTTTTCTAACTTCGTTTTGTGTTTGACTTTATATGGACTCCATGCTGGAGCCCCATACTCCGGTATTGTTCTGACGTACGAGATTTAAAAGGTTCTGAATTATTCCTTACACAAGTTTCTAAAGGTAGTTAGTCATATGTTTGCCAGCTTTGCATATGCCGCTAATGATATCCTTTTTATGTGGACTTCAGGGGACATGCCTGGCGTTATATCAACCTCCCAGATCTTTCTCTCTTCCAGATTCCTGAAGGATTTTATCTCCCAAATGGTACCTTGTGTTTGGCCTCCTGGTTCTCCACCTATCTTGTCGAAGACAAAAGTCGTAAGTGAAGCACTCGTTCCGGAAGTGTTCGGACGTTATCAGTTGTGAGTCGTGTATAAAATCTTTTTCATTCATAAACAGGGGGGTCGGCGGCTGGATTAATGAGCATTTGAGGAGGACCAGCTGGATTACGCTTGAAATGTTCTTGAGTGCTTTTTCACTCCGGTCCTGTGTTCGAGTCCCATCTCATACAATGCTTCACCCATGAACTGCAAAGATAAATACTTCCCAACAAAATCGAAGCACCTGTTTCTCCACCCCCCCCCCCCTTGTCCATCCACCTTGTCTATCCTCTTAATATAAACTATACACAATATTACAATGTATTTTCATATATATTTACATTAGAGAAAATACCGTTGTGGTGACAGCAAGTTAACAGTAAGGAAGACGTGTTTACGGTCGTTCACACCTTGAACAAGCATGGCTTGAAAGACCATAAGTACTACAAAGGTATTAACTGGCTAGAATTTATATTAAATCCGTAAAAATTTATACACAAAATAAATAGTGTCGATAATCATATTACATATAAAACAAATTAAAGAAAACTAAATCTAAAGTGTTTTTCTATTATTTCCGGCTCTTAGCTTGAGCTGCTGCGGTGTATGCTAATGTGATCACTACAAAAGCCTAAGTCTGGAGCACCACAATGTGGCTTATTAGCATTCCCAGCGGCCATTTTTCCTCTTAATAAGGTTACGGTCATATTCTCTGGCTTTTTGCTGCCAAGATAAAAATATTCTTAAAAAGATTAATATAAAAAAAAATATCTATTATTTGTATAAGGGGCTTTCAGTCCATATTGTATAGCCAGGAGGGAACAGATGGCCAGGAGGGTATAGATGGCCAGGAGGGAATAGCTGGCCAGGAGGGTATAGATGGCCAGGAGGGAATAGATGGCCAGGAGGGTATAGATGGCCAGGAGGGAATAGATGGCCAGGAGGGAATAGATGGCCAGGAGGGAATAGATGGCCAGGAGGGTATAGATGGCCAGGAGGGTATAGATGGCCAGGAGGGAACAGATGGCCAGGAGGGTATAGATGGCCAGGAGGGTATAGATGGCCAGGAGGGAACAGATGGCCAGGAGGGTATAGATGGCCAGGAGGGAATAGCTGGCCAGGAGGGTATAGATGGCCAGGAGGGAATAGCTGGCCAGGAGGGTATAGATGGCCAGGAGGGAATAGCTGGCCAGGAGGGTATAGATGGCCAGGAGGGAATAGATGGCCAGGAGTGAATGTATTGTAGTGGAGCACATGGACTGTTCAACCCTTGTCTATCCTCTGTGTCCATCCTGTTTCTTCCCTCCCCTCTTATCCATCCCTCTTGCCCATCCTTCTTGTCCATCCCCGCTTGCCCATCCCCCTTACCCATCACTCTTCTTATTACTCCCATATTTCGTTGTCTGTCACCATTCCTCGCCCAGCGAGGCCTTCCTCCTCCCCCTTGCCTCACCCCTTCTCAGGAAATCCATTACCATTCATTTCCATTACTTGCACAGTGGCCAACGGAGTACAAGAGTAGGAGAAAATGGATTTCCTGAGACTGGAGTTGAGGGTTAATGGGAGTGACGGAGGAACCAGCCTCACTATGACCTCGGAAGACATTATTGTTATTATTATTATTGCCCAAAGAAATCACATTAACGAGATGTATCAGTGATAAGATCAGTAGAAGCCATGATAAGGATTCGACCATGTACACTAGGTACTCTTAGGTATACGCCCTAATCAACTCGGACATGACATGCTCAACAGCTATGCAACCTGGGATTCAACTGAATATTGTTGGGGTTCTGAGGCTTCCATTGGAGCGCAATCAGGGTTTCCACGCATTGCCCTTCAGGGATTCAAAGCGTTACAGGTAAAACACCTATACCACACCCTGATTAGGCTTATACCACCTATATAACACTTATAACACCTATACCACACCCTGATATGAAACTAATTAACCACGAAGGAAAAAAAATTGACGTTACTGAATTGACTTTAGCACTTTCGTGTTAATCAACACATTATCGAAAGTATTGAACAAATCAAATCAAATGATTTGTTCGTTTGATGCGTCACGTTAGTGTGATCTCTGTGTGTATCGAAAGTGTTGTTTTGAGTTAATTAACACGAAAAAAACTCAAGTCAGTTCTGGTTTCAGTTTTCCCTCGTGGTTAAATAGTTACAAACTATTTATCACGTTAATTTCTTCGTGATTTACACACACACATATATGAAGGAGTTTGGGTGGATATGTATAAAAGTTGCCTCGTGTAGGCCAAGACGCCTTTAATAATTTCCACAATTCATTTGTTTAAATGTTTAACCGTAGATATGATAGAGCGAATATGTACTGAAGCATATGCATCAGATGATTAAGTACAATTGGTTAGTACACATCTTGGTGAGACCACACGCATACCTACATACACAACGCACACAAACCTGCACAATCCGCACGCGCGCGCGCGCACAAACCCACATAAACCCTGGGATGGCAAGTCAGGTCTCACAGGATTAATTGAATTCTACGATCAGGCAACAAGAATCAGGCAAGAAAGAGAGGGGTGGGCAGACTGCATACTTTTAGATTGCCAGAAAGCCTTTGACACAGTACCACATCAGAGACTAGTTCGAAAGCTGGAGATGCAGGCATGAGTGAAAGGGAAGGTACTCCATTGGATAAAGGAGTACCTAAGTGTCAGAAGACAGCAAATCACTGTGAGGGGTGAAGTCTCAGACCGGCGAGACGTCACCAGTGGAGTCCCGCAGGGGTTCAGTCCTTGGCTCCATACTGTTTCTGATATATGTAAATGATCTACCAGAGGGTATTGAATCAATCCTCTCATTATTGCAGGCGATGAGTCACAATAACGTGGCTGAAGTATGTTGACCAGACCACACACTAGAAATTGAAGGGACGACGACGTTTCGGTCCGTCCTGGACCATTCTCAAGTCGATTGAGAATCGACTTGAGAATGGCTCTCATTATTGGTTGATAATGCAAAAATTTTGAGGAGGATTAAGATGGAGGAAGATAGTATGAGGCCACAAGATGACCTAGACTGACTGAATGGATGGTCCAACAAATGGCTGCTAAAGTTCAACCCGAGTAAATGCAAGGTAATCACACTAGGCACTGGAAACAGGAGGCCAGACACAGGATACAGAATGGGAGATGAAGTCCTTCATGAAACGGACAGAGAGTAAGACCTAGGAGTTGATATTACACTAAACCTGTCTTCTGAAGCCCATTAAAAGAGAATAACATCTGCGGCATATGCGAGGCTGGCTAACATCAGAACTTCCTTCAGGAACCTGTGTAAGGAATCATTCAGAACAATGTATACCACGTATCTAAGACCAATCCTGGAGTATGCGGCCGAGCATGGAGCCCGTACCTGGTCAAGCACAAGACGAAGCTGGAAAAAGTTCAGAGGTATGCCACTAGGCTAGTCCCAGAACTAAGAGGTATGAGTTACGAGGAAAGGCTGCGAGAAATGCATCTCACAAAACTGGAAGACAGAAGAGTAAGGGGAGACATGATCAACATGATCACTACCTAAAAATTCTCGGAGGAATTGACAGGGTAGATAAACTGTTTAATACGGGTGGTACGCGAACAAAGGGACACAGGTGGAAACTGAGTGCCCAAATGAGCCAGAAGGACGTTAGAAAGAACTTTTTTAGTGTCAGGGTAGTTAACAGATGGAATGCATTAGGCAGTGATGTGGTGGAGGCTGACTCCAAACACAGTTTCAAATGAAGATATGATAGAGCTCAGTAGGCTCAAGAATCTGTACACCAGTTGATTGACAGTTGAGAGGCGGGACCAAAGAGCCAGAGCTCAACCCAACAAACACATATAGGTGAGTATACACAAGCATACAAACTCGCCCACACACAAACCCGCACATGCGTGCACTAACCATACACCGCAGGCACAGTAATGTAAGAGAAGCGACACAATCTTTCCAATTTAATGGCCACTTCCGCTCCTTCATCACAGAGCTCCGTGAATTAAGTCCAGTATTTCACTTATAATAATTAAGAAGAGGAGTGCGTCGGGCGCGGTACACAGGTTGTGGATGCTATACGCTCTCGTCATGTCCTGCTGCTTTTGCACCCTAGGGTTGTCTCATTTTAGCAAGTCATTAAATATGAAAATACGTAAAAATTTGTGTTGAGGAGAGGAAAATTTTGCATAAAATCTTTCCGTTTATTTGTGTATTTCAGAAAATATTTTTTGTTTTATTAAATGCGTAGCTGGCCGTGGTGGAGTTGATGTTAATAGTTGTGATGTTGGTGGTCGGGAGGTGTTGGTGGTGGGTGTAGAGTTGTTGGCTGACAATTTTGTGCTGAGTGATGAATGTCATGATAGAGAAAGTAGCAGGCAGAGTCCCACAGGGTCTCTTACTTAAACCACTTCTATTCCTCATTTGTGTATATGACCTGGTGAAGGAGAGATGCTCGTTGATGAAAATGTTTACAAACGATGGAAAAAGAGGTGGGAACGATAATGGCCGTAGAAGGACTAGACAGGCTGCAGGAATGGACGAATGTTTGACTACTAGAGTTTAATCTAAATGGATATAAAGAATCGAGATTGGATAGATTCGGGAGATCAATAGGACAGTACATTCGACAAAGGAGACACTTGGGAACAAGAACAAACAGAACCAAAAGAGCGTCTATATCAGGGACCTCGCGGCTGAGTGGACAGCGTTCGGGGATCATAGTCCTAAGGGCCCGGGTTCGATTCCCAGCCGAGGCAGAAACAAATGGGAAGAGATTCCTTCATCCTGATGCCCTGTTCACCAAGTAGTAAACAGGTTCCTGGGAGTTACATAGCTGCTACGGGCATCTTCCTTGGGATGTGTGTGTGTGTGTGTGTGAGTGTGTTACAGAGCAAAATATGTAGTAGATGCAACAGAGGAAGAAAAATAGATCGGTTAGAAAGGCGGGGTCCAAGAGCTAATAGCTCGATTCTGCAGGCATAAATATAAATAGTAAATACACACATAAAATATACAGATAGAATATCAGCATCAGGATAGAATATCAGACCGCCTGTCACCCCATTTTTCTTTGGCTGTCGGAATTACAGGACGAACGTTGAAGATAAAATCAAAAGAAGCAGCACAAGGAAGCGACCTCATGAGACAATCTTGGGAGATATTAAGCTTAACATGCTCAGGAAGAGAGGAGGTGGCGTGGGTAAAGGGGAAGGAGGGAAGAGGAAGAAGAGAAGATAAGGTGAGGAGGAGGAAGTGATGGGTCAGGAGTAACAGAAGGTGGGGAACGAACGTGAAAATTGTGCAAGTGTGAAATGCGGTGATTGAAATAACTAGCGGAGCTAGAATGGGAGGCCGGACGGACGAACGATAAAAGTTTTGGATAGGAGAGGGAGAGGGAGAGGGAGAGAGGGCAACAATATGCAATGCTAGAAAACGCAGCAGTGCGGCAAGGGTTTGCTAGGGCATGGACACATACACACACACATATATATGTGTACATACATCCACACTCAAATACGTGCACATATTCAAACACGCATGCATTTACATTCAAACACACACATAAACCCACACGTGCTCATTAGCAAAATAGCGTCAGCACCATATGCCAAACTTCACAACTTCTGAACAGTCTTCGTGAGCACGGACAAAAGAGAACTCGATGGTCATATCCGCTCTTGGAACCCACACCTGGACTAGCATAAAATTGAACTAGAAAATGTCTGAATGATTGTTTGCCTGTCTGTCCAAAGTTGGAAGACAGCCGCTTGAGGCTAGCCTTATCTAAACTGGTAGAGGGAATGGTCTGGGTTATGGGACGGACACTGGCTGGTCGGGGGTCGCCGGAATTGAAGAGGGAACAGCATGCCACAGTGACACACGGACCCTGCGACGGTTTTTGGCACTGGCTACCGGCTACCCATGTAAACATAAAATAAATAATATTCTCATTTTAGTATACCGCCTTATTCACTAATGCTGTGAATAAGGCGAAATAAGTGAAAATGACAGTGCCTGTCTGGTTGTCTGTCTATTCAAAGAAGGTCAGACGCTTGGGGCTAGCCTCCTCCAACTTTCCAAGATGACACCTGGGAGTATGGGAAAATCATAGGCCAATTAGAGTAGTAAGCCCCGGTGCCATTCTTCAAGAAATATCCGAATTTTTAGTGATTTTCTGCAATTTTCACTGAAACTGAAACTTGGAATTTAGTTTCCATTTAGTGTT